GTCCCCTGACCCGTGTCCCTCTGTGTCCCCCCAGGAGTGCAGCGCCCTGGGGACATTCCCAATGCCCCCCTGTGTCCCCCTGACCCGTGTCCCCCTGTGTCCCCCCAGGAGTGCAGCGCCCTGGGGACATGCCCGGTGTCCCGTGCCCCCTGTGTCCCCTGACCTGTGTCCCCCTGTCCCCCAGGAGTGCAGCGCCCTGGGGGACATTCCCAGTGTCCCCCGTGTCCCCTCTGACCTGTGTCCCTCTGTGTCCCCCTGACCTGTTCCCTCTGTGTCTCCCCAGGAGTGCAGCGCCCTGGGGACATGCCTGGTGTCCCTCTGTGTCCCCCTGACCTGTGGTTCCCTCTGTCCCCCAGGTGTAGCGCCTGGGACATGCCCGTGTCCCCTCTGTGTCCCCCTGACCCGTGTCCCCTCTGTCCCCCCAGGAGTGCAGCGCCCTGGGGACATTCCCGATGCCCCTCTGTCCCCCTGACCTGTGTCCCTCTGTCCCCTGACCCGTGTCCCCTCTGTGTCCCCCCCAGGAGTGCAGCGCCCTGGGGGACATTCCCAATGCCCTCCTGTGTCCCCCTGACCCGTGTCCCCTCTGTGTCCCCCAGGAGTGCAGCGCCCTGGGGACATGCCACCCATGTCCCCCTGTGTCCCCCTGACCTGTGTCCCTCTGTCCCCCAGGAGTGCAGCGCCCTGGGGACATTCCCAGTGTCCCCCTGTGTCCCCCTGACCCGTGTCCCTCTGTGTCCCCTGACCCGTGTCCCCTCTGTCCCCCCCAGGAGTGCAGCGCCCTGGGGGACATGCCTAGTGTCCCCCTGTGTCCCCCTGACCCGTGTCCCTCTGTCCCCCCAGGAGGCACGGGGACATGCCCAGTGTCCCCTCTGTGTCCCCCTGACCCGTGTCCCCTCTGTGCCCCCCAGGAGTGCAGCGCCTGGGGACATTCCCAATGCCCCCTGTGTCCCCCTGACCCGTGTCCCCTGTGTCCCCCTGACCTGTGTCCCCTCTGTGTCCCCCCAGGAGTGCAGCGCCCTGGGGACATTCCCAATGCCCCCCGTGTCCCTCTGTCCCCCTGACCCGTGTCCCCTCTGTGTCCCCCCCAGGAGTGCAGCGCCCTGGGGGACATTCCCAATGCCCCCCGTGTCCCCCTGACCCTGTGTCCCCTCTGTCCCCCCAGGAGTGCAGCGCCCTGGGGACATGCCCAGTGTCCCCTCGTGTCCCCCTGACCCGTGTCCCCTCGTGTCCCCCTGACCCGTGTCCCTCTGTGTCCCCCCCAGGAGTGCAGCGCCCTGGGGGACATGCCCGGTGTCCCCTCTGTCCCCCCCTAACCCGTGTCCCCTCTGTCCCCCCCAGGAGTGCAGCGCCCTGGGGACATTCCCAATGCCCCCGTGTCCCCCTGACTGTGTCCCTCCCCCAGGAGTGCAGCGCCCTGGGGACCATGCCTGTGTCCCTCGTGTCCCCCTGACCCGTGTCCCCTCTGTCCCCCCCAGGAGTGCAGCGCCCTGGGGGACATGCCCGGCTCCTTCGTGCCCACGGTGACGGCCATCACCACCAGCCAGGACCTGCAGTGGCTGGTGCAGCCCACCCTCATCTCCTCGGTGGCCCCGGGGGCTCCGATGGCGCAGCCCCCGCCCCCCCTCGACCCCTACGACCTGCCCGGACCCAGCTACTCCACCCCGGGCCTGGGCGCCTCGTGGGACCCCTGGCCCCGACCCCCGCCCGGGCTCCTCGCGCCCGCCCCTGCGCAGCCGCGACGAGACGGTGAGGGGGGCGTGGGGGTGCGTGGGGCACATGGGGGGGCGTGGGGACATGGGGGCGTGGGACATGGGGGGGCGGGGAGCTCGGGGACAGAAGCGGCAGGAGCTTGAGGGACGTCACAGGTGGTGACACCTCGGGGACAGGGAGGGGACGGCAGCGAGGGGGACATCGCAGGGGCTCGAGGTGCAGGGGGACACCGCAAGCGGTGCCGCCCTGGGGACAAGGAGGGCGGTGGCACCTCGGGGACATCGCGGCTGGCGGTGCCACCGCCGCCCTCCCCGCGCCGTCGGGGGGCATCGCGGGGCAGGGGGGCTTTGGGGACGCGGAGGGTTTTGGGGACGCGGAGGGTTTTGGGGTCGGGGGCGCGGCAGGAGCTCGGTGCCGGGGGCCGTGGGGACGCGGTGGCTGCGGGTGACAGTCCCGTCCCTTCGCAGCTGACGCCGGAGGAGGAGGAAAAGCGCCGCGTGCGCCGCGAGAGGAACAAGCTGGCGGCGGCCAAATGTCGGAACCGGCGCCGGGAGCTCACGGACCGGCTGCAGGCGGTGAGCGGGGACACTGGGGACACTGGGGGACACTGGGGGACACTGAGGGACACTGGGACACCCCAGGGGGAAATGGGGCGGTGGGGGTGGTGGCGATGTCCCCACGCCCGGGGACACGGCAGGGGGCGGGTTGGGGTCCGTGCGGGGCGGGCGGTGGGGGACAGGGGTGTCCCCAGAGCCACGGGATGCTGGAGGGGACGAGGAGGAGGAGGAGGAGGAGGATGGCGATGTCCTCGGAGCTGGGGACATCTCGGGGACACGCAGCCCCCGGTCCCGGGGAGCTGGGGACACCAGAGGGGGACAGCAGCGCGTCCAGAGCCGAGGGGTGGTGGAGGGAGTGAGGATGAAGAGGATGATGATGATGATGATGATGATGATGATGATGGGGAGCTGGGGACAACTGGGGGACAGGCAGACCCTGGTCCCAAGGAGCTGGGGACACCAGACGGGGACAGCAGCGTGTCCAGAGCCGAGGGATGGTGGAGGGAGTGAGGATGAGGATGAGGAGGAAGATGATGATGATGATGATGATGGGGAGCTGGGGACATCTGGGGGACAGGCAGACCCTGGTCCCAAGGAGCTGGGGACACCAGATGGGCACAGTGGTGACACCAGGGCCGGGGACACTGGAGAAGAGGATGATGAGGAGGATGAGGAGGATGAGGAGGATGAGGAGGATGAGGAGGATGAAGATGATGAGGAGGATGAGGATGATGAGGAGGATGAGCAGGATGAGGATGATGAGGATGATGAGGAGGATGAGGGTGATGAGGAGGATGATGAGGAGGATGAGCAGGATGAGGATGATGAAGATGATGAGGATGATGAAGATGATGAGGAGGATGAGGGTGACCTCAGAGCTGGGCACAACGGTGCCCCCAGGCCCAGGGACGCTGCAAGGGGACAGTGGCATCCCTGGGGACGCCAGAGGGGACAGGCCAGTTTGCCCTTGGTCGGTCGGGGCCGTTGGAGGGAGGGGACAACGACCCCAGGACTTGGGGACCTCGTAGGGGCACCCTGGGGGCGGTGGCACCGCGGGGGACCGAGGGCGTCCCCAGAAGTTGGGGACACCAGAGGGGACAGGCTTGGTGACATCAGAGGGGAGGGGACACCTTGGGCTGTCCCCAAGCTCCGTGGCCCCAGAGGTGCCACCCAGCCCCTCCAGCGCTGTCCCCACGCTCAGTGACACCAGAGGGACCCCCAGAAGGACCCCCAGGGCTGTCCCCAGGCTTAGGGACACCAGAGGGACCCCCAGAAGGACCCCCCAGGGCTGTCCCCACGCTCAGTGACACCAGATGGACACCCAGAAGGACCCCCAGGGCTGTCCCCACACTCAATGACACCAGAGGGACCCCCAGAAGGACCCCCCAGGGCTGTCCCCACACTCAGTGACACCAGAGGGACCCCCAGAAGGACCCCCAGGGCTGTCCTCAGGCTCGGGGACACCAGAGGGACCCCCAGAAGGACCCCCAGGGCTGTCCCCAGGCTTGGGGACACCAGATGGACACCCAGAAGGACCCCCAGGGCTGTCCCCACACTCAGTGACACCAGAGGGGACACTTAGCAGTGTGACAGAGTAGGGATGTCCCCGGAGGAGCCCGCGGGGCTGTCCCCAGGCTCAGGGACACCGGAGGGGACACTCAGGGATGTGGCAGGGCCAGGGATGTCCCCAGAGGAGCCCAAGGGGTTGTCCCCACCCTCGGTGACACCAGAGGGGACACTTAGAGGTGTGGCAGAGCCAGGGATGTCCCCAGAGGAGCCCAAGGGGTTGTCCCCACCCTCGGTGACACCAGAGGGGACACTCAGGGATGTGACAGAGCAGGGATGTCCCCAGAGGAGCCCACAGGACTGTCCCCACCCTCAGTGACACCAGAGGGGACACTTAGAGGTGTGACAGAGCCAGGGATGTCCCCGGAGGAGCCCGCGGGGCTGTCCCCACACTCGGGGACACTCAGGGATGTGGCAGAGCCAGGGATGTCCCCAGAGGAGCCCACAGGGCTGTCCCCACCCTCAGTGACACCAGAGGGGACACTTAGAGGTGTGGCAGAGCCAGGGATGTCCCCAGAAGGACCCCCAGGGCTGTCCCCACCCTCAGTGACACCAGAGGGGACACTTAGGGGTGTGGCAGAGCCAGGGATGTCCGCGGGGCCGTCCCCACGCTCAGTGACTCTCAGCGACCCCCGAGCTGCCCCCCCCAATTGTGTCCCCACTCTCAGGGACCCCCCCGCGTGTCCCCACTCTCAGGGACCCCCCAGTTGTGTCCCCACTCTCAGTGACCCCCAGTTGTGTCCCCGCTCTCAGTGACCCCCCAGTTGTGTCCCCACTCTCAGGGACCCCCCAGCGTGTCCCCACTCTCAGTGACCCCCCAGCTGTGTCCCCACTCTCAGTGACCCCCAGCAGCCCTGTCCCCACTCTCAGTGACCCCCAATTGTGTCCCCACCTCAGTGACCCCAGTTGTGTCCCCACTCTCAGGGACCCCCAGTTGTGTCCCCGCTCTCAGTGACCCCCAGCTGTGTCCCCCACCTCAGTGGACCCCCGCAGCCCCTGTCCCCACTCTCAGTGACCCCCAGTTGTGTCCCCGCTCTCAGTGACCCCCAGCTTGTGTCCCCTGCCTCAGTGACCCCCCAGTTGTGTCCCCACCTCAGCGACCCCCAGCTGTGTCCCCACTCTCAGTGACCCCCCAGTTGTGTCCCCGCTCTCAGGGATCCCCCAGCAGCCCCGTCCCCACGCCCGGTGCCCCCACGCGTGTCCCCTCTCCCCCCACCCACCTGGGCCTGACTGCACCGCCCCCCGCAGGAGACGGACCAGCTGGAGGAGGAGAAGGCGGAGCTGGAGTCGGAGATCGCGGAGCTGCGCAAGGAGAAGGAGCGCCTGGAGTTCGTGCTGGTGGCCCACGCGCCCGCCTGCAAGGTCCCCTTCGAGGACGTGGGCGAGGTGAGCACCCCGGGCAAGGCGGGTCGCCGCCGCCGCCGCCGCCTTCCTGCCCCCGGCGCCGTTCCAGGGGCCCCAGGGCCCCTTCCCGGGCTGCTGCCTCGCGCCGGGGGTCCCCGCGGGACCCCCTAACGCGGCCCCCCCCGCGTCTCCGTTTGTGTTCACCCACCCAGAGGGAGCCGCGTGCGGAGCTCGTGCGGAGCCTCGCACCAGCGGAGCAGCGGCAGCGACCAGTCCTCGGACTCCTTGAACTCCCCTCGCTCCTCGCGCTGTGAAAACCCCCTGCCCCCGGGACAGCCCCCCACCCACCCCCGGCCCGGCACCCGACCCACTACCTCCCAAAAAAATTCAACAAAAACTAACCCAAAACCCCTACTCCGGCATATCTCCCACCTCCCTCTCCCACACCCCGAGCCGCTTTTTCGGGGGTTTTTTTTTAAGGGGGAGGTTTGAAGGTGATTTTTTTTTTCGTGGGGAGTTGAAGGGTTTTTTTGTGGTTTTTTGGTTTTTTTGGTTTTTTTTTTGTTTTTTGGGTTTTTTTTGGGGGAGAGAAGAAGGTTTGAAGGAGATTTTTGAAAAGGGTCGAAGGTTGGTTTTTTTGGGGGTTTTTTTTTGGTGGTTTTTTTTTTTGGAGGGGGAGAGGTCTGAAGGTGTTTTGGGCACCCGGACCTGGAGGTGGAGCCGTCCCGGCTCTTGGGAGGGGCCCGTCCCCAGTCCCTGCCGCCTCCTGGGGGTTCATCCAGCGTCTCTCTCCCCCCTCTCCCTCTGGAGGCGTCCCTGCCCCACTCCCAGCACTGGGAGAGGGTTCTCCGTCCCCTCAGAGGGGCCTGTCCCTCATTTCACGGGGCTCACCCGACGTCTCCCCCCCGTTGGAGACGCCCCCGCTCAACTCCCACCCGCCTGGGAAGGGGGTTTTGTCCTCCCCATCGCCCTGGAGGTGTCTGTGCCCTCTCCCCGCCGTCCCAGGGGACTCTCCAACCCCTTTGGAGGGGTCCCTGCCCCCTTCCCGGCACCTGGAGAGGGTCCCTGTGGTGCCCCTGTCACCTCAGAGGGGCCTGTCCCCCATCCCCACCGTCCTGGGGGGCTTCGTTCTGCACCTCCATCCCTTTGGAGATGTCCCAGAGTGATCCCAAACCCCCTCCTTGAGGGTCCTGGAGGCACCTGAGGTGTCCCAGCCCCATCCCAATCCCCCCTGAGGGTCCTGGAGGCACCTGAGGTGTCCCAGACTGATCCCAAACCCATCCTGAAGGTCCTGGAGGCACCTGAGGTGTCCCAGACTGATCCCAAACCCATCCTGGTGACACCTGACGTGTCCCAGACTGACCCCAAACCCGCCCCCGAGGGTCCTGGTGGCACCTGAGGTGTCCCAGACTGATCCCAAATCCCCCCTGAGGGTCCTGGTGGTGCCTGAGGTGTCCCAGCCCCATCCCAAACCCCCCTGAGGGTCCTGGTGGCACCTGAGGTGTCCCAGACTGATCCCAAATCCCCCCCCGAAGGTCCTGGTGGCACCTGAGGTGTCCCAGACTGATCCCAAATCCCCCCTGAAGGTCCTGGTGGCACCTGAGGTGTCCCAGACTGATCCCAAATCCCCCCTCCTTGAGGGTCCTGCTGACACCTGAGGTGTCCCAGCCCCATCCCAAATTCCCCTGAAGGTCCTGGTGGCACCTGAGGTGTCCCAGCCCCATCCCAAACCCGTCCTGGTGACACCTGAGGTGTCCCAGACTGATCCCAAACCCGTCCTGGTGACACTTGAGGTGTCCCTGCCCCCCTCCTGACCCCTTGAGGGTCTCTGTGCCCCCTTGCCCAGGAGGGGTCCTGGTGCCGCCTCCAGCCCTTTGGAGACCCCTCCCCGCCGTGTCCCCCCAGTGTCCCCTCTGTCCCACTGGACACAGCCCCTGTCCCCTCCCCCTCGAGGGGCTCCAGGGGTATTTTCCCCTCCACGTGTCCAGGGGGTCTCCCACCCCCACACCGTGGGGTCCTTCAGCACCCCCATCGGAGCTGCCCCTCCTGTCACCCCCGGAGGGGAGTTTTGTCCCCATTTCCCCCTCGGGGGTCCCTGGGCCCGCAGGTGACCCCTCCGGGTCGCCCCCACCCCTGTGGGACCCTCGCGTGCCGTCCCTGCCCCCCAACTTCTCGGGGTCGCCCTCCAGGTGGTCCCTCTTTGGGACCACCCCCTATCGTCCCGTCGGGGTCCCCGGCGCCCCTCCAAGGGGGCCCGGTCCTGCTCGCCCTCGCCCGCCTGTGCCCGGCCGTGCCCTCCTCCCCCACCCCCCGCCTGTCCTCCCCTCCCCTCCCCCAGCTTCGCCGGCCTTGGCTCCGCCCTCCCCGGTACATAAATCTATTTTTGTTGCGCGGGAGATGTTTAATTTTTATTATTATTATAACGAGGATAATTATTGTCGCCCTGTGCCGTGTCTCGTCGTGCCTGTCTTGGGGACCCCTCCCCGGGGAACCCCCTGGGACCCCCCCCTGTCCGCGCTCGTCCCGCCCCAACGTGGCCAATAAAGCAGCTTCCAGCGGCTCCTCCTCGTGTCCTGTGCTGGGGGGCACTGGGGGGCACTGGGAGGGCACTGGGAGGGCACTGGGAGGCACTGGGAGGGCACTGGGGGGCACTGGGAGGGCACTGGGAGGCACTGGGGGGCTCTGGGAGGCACTGGGAGGGCACTGGGAGGCACTGGGAGGGCACTGGGAGGGTTCTGGGAGGCACTGGGAGGCACTGGGAGGGCAGTGGGAGGCACTGGGAGGCACTAGGGGGACACTGGGAGGGTTCTGGGAGGCACTGTGAGGGCACTGGGAGGCACTGGGAGGCGCTGGGAGGCACTGGGAGGGCACTGGTGAGGGCACTGGGAGGCACTGGTGGGGCACTGGGAGGGCACTGGGGGCACTGAGGCACTGGGAGGCACTGGGAGGCACTGGGAGGCACTGGGGGGCACTGGGAGGGCACTGGGAGGGAACACTGACGGGGGCTGTGGGGGTGAGGGTCCCCTGGGGATGTGGGGTGGGCACAGGGAGGGACGGGGGCACTGGGGGTCAGGACAGGGAGGGGGGAGGCCTTGGAGGGGGGGTGTCCTTGGGGACACGGGACACGCCCTTGGGGACACGGAACACCCGGGGACACGGGACACCCCCTTGGGGACACCTCCTGGGGACACGGGACACGCGAGGACACGGGACACCCCTTGGGGACACGGGACACTTAGGGACACGGAACACCTTGGGACACGGGACACGGGGGACACGGACACCTTGGGGACACGGGACACGCGGGGACACGGGACACCCCTGGGACACGGACACCTTGGGGACACGGGACACGCGGGGACACGGGACACGCGACACACACTTGGGGACACGGGACACCCTTGAGGACACGGGGACACCCCTTGGGGACACCCCTTGGGGACACGGGACACGCGGGGACACGGGACACCCCTTGGGGACACGGGACACCCCTTGGGGACACGGGACACGCGGGGACACCCTGGGGACACAGGACACCCCTGGGGACACCCCTTGGGGACACGGGACACCCCCTTGGGGACACGGGACACGCGGGGACACCCCTTGGGGACACGGGACACCCCTTGGGGACACGGGACACCCCTGGGACACGGGACACCCCTTGGGGACACGGACACCCTTGGGACACGGACACCCTTGGGGACACGGGGACACGGACACCGGGGACACGGGACACCCCTTGGGGACACGGGACACGCTTGGGGACACGGGACACGCTGGGGACACGGGACACCCCTGGGGACACGGGACACCCCTTGGGGACACGGGACACCCTTGGGGACACGGGACACGTGGGGACACGGACACCTCTGGGGACACGGGACACCCCTGGGGACACGGGACACGCTGGGACACGGGACACCCCTTGGGGACACGGACACCCCTGGGACACGGGACACGGGACACACCTTGGGGACACGGGACACGCGGGGACACGGGACACGAGGGGACACGGGACACCCTCTGGGGACACGGGACACCCCTGGGGACACGGGACACGCGGGGACACGGGACACCCCTTGGGGACACGGGACACCCCCTTGGGGACACGGGACACGCGGGGACACGGGACACCCCTTGGGGACACCCCTTGGGGACACGGGACACGCGAGGACACGGGACATCCTCTTGGGGACACAGAACACCCCTTGGGGACACCCCTTGGGGACACGGGACACGCGGGGACACGGGACACGCGGGGACACGGGACACCCCTTGGGGACACGGGACACGAGAGGACACGGGACACCCCTTGGGGACACGGGACATCCCTTGGGGACACGGGACACGCGGGGACACGGGACACGCGGGGACACGGGACACCCCTTGGGGACACGGGACACCCCCTGGGGACACGGGACACGCGGGGACACAGAGCACCCCTTGGGGACACGGGACACCCCTCGGGGACACCCCCTGGGGACACGGGACACGCGGGGACACGGGACACGCGGGGACACGGGACACCCCTTGGGGACACGGAGCACCCCTTGGGGACACGGGACACCCCTTGGGGACACCCCTTGGGGACACGGGACACCCCTTGGGGACACGGGACACCCCCTTGGGGACACCCCTTGGGGACACGGAGCACCCCTTGGGGACACGGGACACTCCCTGGGGACACGGGACACGCGGGGACACGGAACACCCGGGGACACGGGACACCCCTTGGGGACACGGAGCACCCCTTGGGGACACGGAACACCCCTTGGGGACACGGGACACGCGGGGACACGGGACACCCCTTGGGGACACCCCCTGGGGACACGGGACACGCGGGGACACAGAGCACCCCTTGGGGACACGGAACACCCCCTGGGGACACGGGACACCCCTTGGGGACACAGAACACCCCCTGGGGACACGGGACACGCGGGGACACGGGACACCCCTTGAGGACACGGGACATCCCCTGGGGACACGGGACACGCGGGGACACGGAGCTCTCGGTGACCAGGGTGGGGTGAGGCCACACGAAGCCCCCCTTGTCTCCCCATTGGCCCCCCCGCCTGTCAATCAACCGTGAAATGGGTGGGGCTTTTTTATCCTCACACCCTCAAAACCACGCCCACATCGCCACAAGCCCTGCCCCCCGCCCGCCCGCCTGCAGCTCCGCGAGCGACCCCCGGGGAGCCAGAGATGGGAACTGGGGGTCCCTGTCCCAGTTTGGGGTATCCCTCTCTCAGTTTGGGGGGGTCCCTGTCCCAGTTTGGGGGGGTCTCTCCCAGTCTGGGGGGTCCCTGTCCCAGTTTGGGGGGGGTCCCTGTCCCAGTTTGGGGGTCCCTGTCCCAGTTTGGGGGTCCTGTCCCAGTTTGGGGGGTCCCTGTCCCAATTTCGGGGGGGCTCCCTGTTCCAGTTTGGAGGGTCCTCTCCCAATCTGGGGGGTCCCTGTCCCAGTTTGGGAGGGGTCTCTCCCAGTTTGGGGGGGTCCCTGTCCCAGTTTGGGGCATCCTCTCTCAGTTTGGGGTCCCTGTCCCAGTCTGGGGGTCCCTGTCCCAGTCTGGGGGTCCCTCTCCCAATCTCGGGGTCCCTGCACAGCCCTGCTGCGGGGGGTGGGGGCTGTGCCATGTTTGGGGGCTCCCGGACCCCCCAAAGTCCCGCCGGTGTTGGGGGGTTCCTCTCCCCCCCGGTTTTGACGTCAGGGCGGGTGATTCACACCGGGGTTGGCACCAGGGGACACCCAGGACTCGCCACTGTCACCCCCTGGTGTCCCACCCCCCCAACCCCCCGGGCCCCCTCCCGTGCCCGGAGCTGCACCCGGGGGCTCTGTGCTGGGACACCCTCACCCCCGCGTGTCCCCGCGTGTCCCCATCCTGTCCCCATCCTGTCCCCGCGTGTCCCCATCCTGTCCCCGCGCTGTCCCTCCTGTCCCTCGCGCTGTCCTCCCGTGTCCCTCCCAGCGCCGGGGTCCCCACGGTGCCCCCCCGAGCCGCACCCACGGACCGTGAGGCCCCCGGGGGTCTCTGTCCCCTCGTGTCCCCTCGTGTCCCCATCCTGTCCCCACGTTGTCCCCACGTTTCCCGCACTGTCCCCTCCTGTCCCCGCGCTGTCCCCCGTGTCCCTCCCAGCGCCGGGTCCCCACGGTGCTCCCCTGAGCCGCACCCACGGACCGTGAGGCCCCGGGGGTCTCTGTCCCCCGTGTCCCCTCGTGTCCCTCGTGTCCCCTCTGTCCCCTCGTGTCCCCTCGTGTCCCCATCCTGTCCCCACGTTGTCCCCACACTGGGGTCCCCCTGTGCCCCCTCCCTCCTCGGTCCCCCCCGGTCCCCGCCCGGCGCTGCTGCTTCCGCCGCCGCCGCCGCGGCCCCGGTGGGGCGGGGGTGACACGGCCCGGGGTGACACGGCCCGGGGTGACACGGCCCGGGGGGTGACACGGTGACTCCTGGCCCCGCTCCCGCCGCGGTCACTTATTTTTAGCCGCCGGCTCTTCCTGGCCGGATCCCGACTATTCCTGACCCGGGGACCGGGGGACCCACCCAGAGCTCCCCCCATCCCGGGGCCTCGGCAGAGCTCGCGGCAGAGCGGGGGGACGGTGCCCTGGGGGTGGCCCTGGGGACAGCGGGGTGGCCCTGGGGACAGGGGTGGCCCTGGGGACAGGGGGTGGTCGTGCCCTGCGTGTGTCCCCCCTCCTCACCCCACCGTCTGTGCCAGGGATGGGGCGGGGCCGGGATGGAGCAGGCCATTGTCACCTCCCTGCTGTCCCCACCCCCCAGTGTCCTCAACCCCCAGTGCCCCCACTGAGGGGTCATTGTCACCTCCCTGCTGTCCACGCCCCCGTGTCCCTCCAGAGTGGGGCCATTGTCACCTCCCTGCTGTCCCCAACCCCCAGTGTCCCCAACTCCCCCATTGTCCCCTCAGAGTGGGGCCATTGTCACCTCCCTGTCCTAACTCCCCAGTGTCCCCCAGAGCGGGGCCATTGTCACCTCCCTGCTGTCCCCAACCCCCCCAGTGTCCCCAACACCCTGTCCGTGTCCCCCCGAGCGGGGCCACTGTCACCTCCCTGCTGTCCCCAACCCCCCCGAGTGTCCCCAACACCCTCCCCGTGTCCCCAACACCCCCCCAGTGTCCCCCAGAGTGGGGCCATTGTCACCTCCTGCTGTCCCCAACCCCCCAGTGTCCCCAACCCCCAGTGTCCCCAACCCCCAGTGTCCCCAACACCTCCCAGTGTCCCCCCACTGAGGGGCCATTGTCACCTCCCTGCTGTCCCCAACCCCCAGTGTCCCCAACCCCTCAGTGTCCTCAACCCCCCCGTGTCCCCCACTGAGGGGCCATTGTCACCTCCCTGCTGTCCCAACCCCCCAGTGTCCCCAACCCCCGAGTGTCCCAACACCCTCCCCGTGTCCCCACTGGGCCGTGTCCCCCTCCCCACGTCCCCCGTGTCCCCAAGGCCACCGCTCGCCTGGGTTAATTTACAGCATCGTTTATACACCGGGGGTCAGGACTGGGGGTCACACCCAGATTGGGGGCCCCCCAACACCGGGGGGTGGGGGAAGACAGACCCCGGTTTGGGGTCCGGCCCAGCCCTGGGGCAGGACAGACCCCAGTTTTGGGGCAGGACAGACCCCAATTGGGGGCAGGACAGACCCCAATTTGGGGGCTCAGCGCTGCCCCCAGCCCGGGGAGAGGCACCCAGCCCTCTTTGGGGGGCTCTGGGAGGAGGTCCCGGGGGTCTCAGGGGCGGGGGTCTGGGGTCTGGGGGCCTCAGGATGGGAATCTCAGGGTCGGGGTTCAGGGCTGGGGTCTGGGGGTCTCGAGGGCGGCGGGGTCTCAGGGCGGGGGTCTGGGGGTCTTGGGAGTTCTGGGCTGGGGGTCTCAGGGCAGGGGTCTCGAGGGTCTGGGGGTCTCAGGGCGGCGGTTTGGGCGTAGGGGTCTCAGGGCGGTGGTCTCGGGCATCTAGGCGGGGTCTCGGGGCTGGGGTTTGAGGGCTGGGGGTCTCAGGGTCGGTGGGTTTGAGGGCGGGGGTCTCAGGGCGGGGGTTTGCGGGGGCGAGGGGTCTCAGGCGGGGGTCTCGGGGTGGGGGTCTCCAGGGCGGGGTCTGGGGGCGGGGGTCTCAGACGGGGGTCGCGGGGCGGTGGTCTCAGAGCGGGGGTCGCGGGGCGAGGGTCTCAGAGCGGGAGTCGCGGGGCAGGGGTCTCAGGGCGGGGGTCAGGCGGCCCCCGGTGCGGGAGGTGCAGGCGGGGCAGGTGGAGGGCAGGCAGCGCACGGGCCGGGGCGGCAGCTCCGGAAGAACGTTCAGTGCCGGGCGGGGGGGCCCGAGCTCGGCCTCGGCCCCCACGTCTGCAGGACCCCTAGGATCTCCCGGCAGGGACCTGAGCCCGCAGCCCACGCGTCCAGCAGGGCGGCCACGTGGCGGCGGCTGCGGGGACACGGGGGGACACGGGGACAGGGACACGGGGACCAGGGACACAGGGGACATGGGGGATCAGGGGGACACGGGGGTCAGGGGTCAGGGGGAAACGGGGACAGGGGGACACAGGGGACACGAGGGGACACGGGGGTCAGGGGACACAGGGGGACATGGGGGACACGGGGGGACACGGGGGACACGAGGTCAGGGGACACGGGGACACGGGGGACAGAGGGGACACGGGGGGACACGGGGGACACAGGGGACACAGGGGACACAGGGGACACAGGGGGGACACGGAGGGTCAGGGGGACACGAGGGGACACAGGGGGACACAGGGGGGACATGGGGGACACAGGGGGACACATGGGGGACACAGGGGACACAGGGGACACAGGGGGACACGGGGACAGGGGGACATGGTGGTCAGGGGGACACAGGGGACACAGGGGACACGGGGGGACACGGGGTCAGGGGGACACAGGGGGACACAGGGGGCGTTGAAGGGGACATGGGGGACACGGGGGTCAGGGGGACACAGGGGGACATGGGGACACGGGGTCAGGGGACACGGGGGACACAGGGGGTCAGGGGACACGGGGGGACACGGGGGACACAGGGGACACAGGGGGTCAGGGGACACGAGGGACACAGGGGTCAGGGGACATGGGGGACACGGGGGTTAGGGGGTACAAGGGGGACACAGGGGACACCGGGGGACACGGGGGACACAGGGGGTCAGGGGGACAGGGTCAGGGGACACGGGGGACATGGGGGACACAGGGGGACACAGGGGATGGGGACAGGGTGGGGGCATGGGGGACAGAGGGACAGGGGGACATGGAAGGTCAAGGAGGGTCACAGGAGGGTTAGGGGGGACACAGGGGACACAGGGGGACACAGGGGGTCAGAGGGGACAGGGGGTCACAGGGGACATGGGGGGACACAGGGAGATCAGGGGGACAGGGGTGTCACAAAGGGGGGACACCATGGACAGGGGGACACGGGGGCATGGGGGACAGAAAGAACAGGGGGACATGGAAGGTCAAGGAGGGTCAAGGGGGATCAGGGGGTACAGGGGGACACAGGGGGACAGAGGGGTCACGGAGGGACAGGAGGACACAGAACACAGGGGGACACAGGGGACATGGGGGTGCATGGGGGACAAGGGGGACAGGGGGAACAGGGGGACACAGTAAAGGTCAAGGAGGGTAATGGGGACACAAGGGGACATGGGGGGACATGGGGGACATGGGGGGACACGGGGGTCAGGGGGGTCAAGGGGGTCAGGGAGGGACAGGGGACAGGGGGCAGTGAGGTGGGGGTCAGGGGTACCGGGCTCAGCAGGATGGGGCCCCAACCCCAGTCCAACTGGTCCCAGTTTCCCCAGCCCAACTGGTCCCAGCTCGGGGGTCCCCCGAGGTGTCAGGGACACCCCAGGACCGGGGGTGGGGAGGGGTGGGGAGGGGCCCTGGCGCGGGGCCGGGGCCCTTCCTGGCGTGGGGAGGGGCAGGGGCGGGGGCTGCCGGGAAGGGCCCGAGGCCACATCCGGTCACTGCTCCGGTCACTGCTCGGGCCCCGCGGGGACACCGCGTCCTGTCCCGTCCCTGTCACCCCAGTGCCACCCCCACGGGGTCCTGTCCCGTCCCTGTCACCCCAGTGCCACCCCTGTGGGGTCCCCACAGTGTCCCGTCCCTGTCACCCCAGTGCCACCCCCACGGGGTCCTGTCCCGTCCCTGTCACCCCAGTGCCACCCCTGTGGGGTCCCCATGGTGTCCTGTCCCGTCCCTGTCACCCCAGTGCCACCCCTGTGGGGTCCCCATGGTGTCCTGTCCCATCCCTGTCACCCCAGTGCCACCCCCATGGGGTCCCCACCGTGTCCTGTCCCATCCCTGTCACCCCAGTGCCACCCCCACGGGGTCCCACCCGTCCCTGTCACCCCAGTGCCACCCCCACGGGGTCCCTACAGGGTCCCACCCGTCCCTGTCACCCCAGTGCCACCTCTACGGGGTCCCCACGGTGTCCTGTCCCATCCCTGTCACCCCAGTGCCACCCCCAGGGTCCCCACGGTGTCCTGTCCCATCCCTGTCACCCCAGTGCCACCCCCAGGGTCCCCATGGTGTCCTGTCCCATCCCTGTCACCCCAGTGCCACCCCCAGGGTCCCCACGGGGTCCTGTCCCATCCCTGTCACCCCAGTGCCACCCCTGTGGGGTCCCACCATGTCTGTCCCATCCCTGTCACCCCAGTGCCACCCCCACGGGGTCCCCACCGCATCCTGTCCCGTCCCTGTCACCCCAGTGCCACCCCCAGGGTCCCCACGGGGTCCCACCCGTCCCTGTCACCCCAGTGCCACCCCCACGGGGTCCCACCCATCCCTGTCACCCCAGTGCCACCCCCAGGGTCCCCACGGGGTCCCACCTGTCCCTGTCACCCCAGTGCCACCCCCACAGGGTCCTGTCCCATCCCTGTCACCCCAGTGCCACCCCCACGGGGTCCCACCTGTCCCTGTCACCCCAGTGCCACCCCCACAGGGTCCTGTCCCATCCCTGTCACCCCAGTGCCACCCCCACGGGGTCCCACCGTGTCCTGTCCCATCCCTGTCACCCCAGTGCCACCCCCACGGGGTCCCACCTGTCCCTGTCACCCCAGTGCCACCCCCACGGGGTCCCACCTGTCCCTGTCACCCCAGTGCCACCCCCATGGGGTCCCCACCACGTCCTGTCCCGTCCCTGTCACCCCAGTGCCACCCCCAGGGTCCCCACGGGGTCCTGTCCCATCCCTGTCACCCCAGTGCCACCTCCAGGGTCCCCATGGGGTCCCACCCGTCTCTGTCACCCCAGTGCCACCTCTACGGGGTCCCCACGGTGTCCTGTCCCATCCCTGTCACCCCAGTGCCACCCCCAGGGTCCCCATGGTGTCCTGTCCCATCCCTGTCACCCCAGTGCCACCCCCAGGGTCCCCACGGGGTCCTGTCCCATCCCTGTCACCCCAGTGCCACCCCTGTGGGGTCCCACCATGTCTGTCCCATCCCTGTCACCCCAGTGCCACCCCCACGGGGTCCCCACCGCATCCTGTCCCGTCCCTGTCACCCCAGTGCCACCCCCAGGGTCCCCACTGAGGTCCCACCGTCCTGTCACCCCAGTGCCACCCCCACGGGGTCCCACCCATCCCTGTCACCCCAGTGCCACCCCTGTGGGGTCCCCACCATGTCCTGTCCCGTCCCTGTCACCCCAGTGCCACCCCCACGGGGTCCTGTCCCGTCCCTGTCACCCCAGTGCCACCCCCACGGGGTCCCACCCATCCCTGTCACCCCAGTGCCACCCCCAGGGTCCCCACGGGGTCCCACCTGTCCCTGTCACCCCAGTGCCACCCCTGTGGGGTCCCACCATGTCCTGTCCCATCCCTGTCACCCCAGTGCCACCCCACGGGGTCCCACCCAGCCGTGTCACCCCAGTGCCACCCCGTGGGGTCCCCGCACCCACCGGACGTCGGGGAAGTCCCTGGCCAGGGCCCCGACCTCGATCTGCAGCGCGGCCGTGTCCTCCAGCACCAGCAGCTCCCGCAGCCGCGGCACCACCGAGTCCAACCACGGCGACGCCGAGTCCTGCGGGGCCGGGCGGGGGTCAGGCCCACACCCCGGGGTGGGGGGCACATCCAGATCCAATGGGTGGGTGACGTGGCCCATGGATGTCACCTCAACTCAACACCCAACGATGGGAACCTCAACTCAACACCCAATGATGGGAACCCCAACCCAACACCCAACGATGGGAACCTCAACTCAACACCCAACGATGTCACCTCAACTCAACACCCAATGATGGGAACCTCAACTCAACACCCAACGATGTGAACCTCAACTCAACACCCAACGATGGGAACCTCAACTCGACACCCAACAATGGCAATCCCAACTCAACACCCAACGATGGGAACCTCAACTCGACACCCAACAATGGGCACCTCAACTCAACACCCAACGATGGGAACCTCAACCCGACACCCAACGATGGGAACCTCAACTCAATACCCAAAGATGGGAACCTCAACTCAACACCCAACGATGGCAATCCCAACCCAACACCCAAAGATGGGAACCTCAACTCAACACCCAACGATGGGAACCTCAACTCAACACCAAACCCGTGGGCATCGCGCCCCATCAATGTCACCTCAACTCAACACCCAACAATGGGAACCTCAACTCAACACCCATCGATGTCACCTCAACCCGACACCAAACGATGGCAACCTCAACTCAACACCCAACAATGGGAACCCCAACTCAACACCCATCGACACCTCCCCAACTCAACACCCAACGACGGCAACCTCAACACCCATCGATGTCACCTCAACTCAACACCCAACGATGGCAACCTCAACCCGACACTCAGCCCGTGGGCCTCGCGCCCCATCGACCCCACCCCAACCCAACACCCAACGATGGGAACCCCAACCCGACACTCAGCCCGTGGGCACCGCACCCCATCGACCCCACCCCAACCCAACGCCCAACGATGGGGGGGGTCTCACCAGGCGCGAGAAGAGCTCCCGGGCTGCCGGGCCTCGTCGCCCGAGCCGGGCGGCCACGCGGCACGGGCCTTGGCCGAGCGCAGACCAGGCGGCCCTGCAGCAGCGGCCGCACGCGTGCTCGATGAGCACCCGCCGGTGCAGTTCGCTCACCAGCACCTGCGGGGAGGGTCAGTGGGGGGCACGGGGGGGCTCTGACCACCCCCCCAGCGGTGCCACGGCCCCCCCACCTGGTGGGGCTCGGGTGCAGCGGGCGCAGCGTCTGCGCGAAGCCGGTGATGAGCATCACGATGGCGTCGAAGGCGTCGGAGCTCGAGAGCCACTTGCGCTTCATCAGCTTGCCGAAGTAGGGCTGGGGGGGAGCGGGAGGGAGGGGTGGGGAGGGGTCCCAGTGCCCCCTGGGGGGCACCCCAGGGCGGGCACAGGGATGGGGGGAGGGCACCAGGAGTGTCGCACCCTGGGCGGCACCGGGTTGGCACCCAGGGGTGGGTACGGAGACCCAACGGCTGACAGTGGGCCATGGGCGTCACCCAACCCAACACCCGACCAATGGGTGTCACCCAACCCAACACCCGACTGATGGGTGTCACCCAACCCAACAACCAACCAACCAATGGGTGTCACCCAACCCAACACCCGACCAATGGGTGTCACCCAACCCAACACCCAACTGATGGGTGTCACCCAATGGGCATCACCCAACCCAACACCCAACTGATGGGTGTCACCCAACCCAACACCCAACCGATGGGCATCACCCAACCCAATACCCAACTGATGGGCATCACCCAACCCAACACCCAACTGATGGGTGTCACCCAGCCCAACACCCAACCAATGGGCGCCATGTCCCATGGGTGTCACCCAGCCCAACACTCAACCAATGGGCGCCACCCAACCCAACACCCAACCGATGGGTGTCACCCAACCCAACACCCAACTGATGGGTGTCACCCAACCCAATACCCAACTGATGGGTGTCACCCAACCCAACACCCAACCAATTGGTGTCACCCAATGGGCATCACCCAACGGGCATCACCCAACCCAACACCCAACCAATGGGCGCCACGTCCCATGGGTGTCACCCAGCCCAACACCCAACACTGGGAATGGTGTCCCATGGGTGTCACCCCACACAACACCCAACCAATGGGCGCCATGTCCCATGGGTGTCACCCAGCCCAACACCCAACCAATGGGCACCATCTCCCATGGGTGTCACCCAGCCCAACACCCAACCAATGGGCACCATGTCCCATGGGTGTCACCCAGCCCAACACCCAACCAATGGGCACCATCTCCCATGGGTGTCACCCAACCCAACACTCAACCAATGGGTGCCATGTCCCATGGGTGTCACCCAACCCAAAACTCAACCAATGGGTGCCATGTCCCATGGGTGTCACCCAACCCAACACCCAACGCTGGGAATGGTGTCCCATGGGTGTCACCCAATCCAACACCCAACCAATGGGTGTCACCCCACCCAACACCCAACGCTGGCCCCTGTCACACCTACGGGTGTGTCCCCCACCCCTCCCGGGGGCACCTTGAGGTCCTCGAAGAGCGCTGGGTGAGGAGGTGGCGCAGGCGCGGGTGACGCGGTCCAGCGCGGCGTGGGCCTGGCGCCGCGGCTCCTCGCTCTCGGGGTGCCCGAACTGCGCCAGCCGCTCCGCGAAGGCCCTGCCGGCACCGGGGGGTCAGGGGACCCCGGGGACACGAGGGGGACGACGGGAGGCGGGGGGCTCACCTGAAGGGGGCAGCAGTTGGCCAAGGCGATGGCGCGGGCGGGGGCACCGTCTGGGGGCGGCGTCACCGGGGCCTTCCAGGAACCGCTCGACCTTCCGCTGGAAACTGGGGACAGCCCAGGCACCACCGGGGGACGGGGGGTGGGGACATGGGGACATGGGGGACATGGGGGGACAGGGGACAGGGGACAGGGGGACATGGGGGACATGGGGGGACATGGGGAGGACATGGGAGGGACATGGGGACATGGGGGACATGGGGGACATGGGGGACATGGGGACATAGGGACATGGGGGGACATGGGGACACGGGGGGACATGGGGACACGGGGACATGGGGACATGAGGGGACATGGGGACAGGGGGACATGGGGACACGGGGGACATGGGGAATAGGGGACAGAGGGACACAGGGGACATGGGGACACAGGGACATGGGGAACCCGGGGGACACAGGGAATGGGGGTCACGGGGACAGGGGGACATGGGGAATGGGGACAGGGGGACACAGGGGACATGGGGACACCGGGGACAGGGGACATGGGGAACCCAGGGGGACACGCTTCAGTGTCCCCTGTCCCCCATGTCCCACCTGTGCAGGAAAGGCCACCAGCACTCCCAGCAGACCGTGGGCCATGTCCCGCCCGAACTCGGGGTCACCTGGGGCTCTGTCCACGTGTGCCCGCAGCAGCTGGGGGGACACACATGGGGACACCGTGGGGACACAGCCACCCCCAGCGTCCCTCGGGGCTCCCTGAGGTTGGGGGGGGCTCTGAGGGGTTGGGGGTGCCCCGGGGGGGTCGTACCCCCGTGACCCGCGTGGCCAGGCCCTCCTGCAGGTCCTGCTCGGTGACGTCCTCGGGCCAGGTGTCCTCGCTGAGCTGCAGCTCCTGCGCCACCGCCACCTCCAGCTTGGCCTGGGGACAAATTGGGGGGGGGGACACGGTGGGGACACTGCGGGGACAGCAGGGGGACAGCGGGAATGGGGACAGCAGGAATGGGGACAGAGGGAATGGGGGCAGCGGGAATGGGGCAGCAGGAGTGGGGACAACGGGAATGGGGACAGCGGGAATGGGGGCACCGGTGCCACCGCGTCCCCCACGGCGTCCCCACCCCAGTGCCACCACAGCGCCCATCCCAGCACCACTGCTGTGGCCCCCTCCCGTGCCCCCACCGTGCCCCCGTGTCCCCATCCTATCCCCCGTGTCCCCACCCAGTGCCCCCCGTGCTCCCCGTGTCCCCATCATGCCCCCTGCCCCCCGTGCCCCCATGCCCCCTGTTCCCCCGTGTCCCCATCATGTCCCCCCGTGTCCCCATCATGTCCCCCGTGTGTCCCCACCGTGCCCCCCGTGCGCCCCTGTGCCCTCCCATGTCCCCCCGTGTTTCCCCCATGTCCCCTCATGCTCCCCCGTGTCCCCCGTGTACTCCCCGTGTCCCCATCATGTCCCCGTGTCCCCCCGTGTCCCCCCGTGTCCCCATCATGTCCCCCGTGTCCCCCACTCCGTGTCCCCGTGTCCCCACCATGTCCCCACCCGTGTCTCCCGTGTCCCACCTCGTGCCCCCCGTGCCCACCTTGACGGCGGCGATGCAGGAGCTCTCGAGGTCGCGCTGGGTCTCGGGGGCAGGAGGGGTCCCAGGGCCTGTGCCCGCAGCAGAGCCCCCACCTCGGGTGCCCCAGCACCTCCTGGGAAGTACGGACCCCTGGGTGTCAGGGGGCACCCTGAGGGAGCGGGAGAGGGTGTGGGGGACACGGGGTGTCCCAGTGGGCTGTGGAGGGTCCCGTGGGTGCTGGGGGGTGCTGGGGAGTCCCATAGATCGTGGTTGGGGGAGGTTCAGAGGGTCCCTCAGGTGTCACAGAGTGCTGGGGGTCCCACGAGGGCAGGGGGTAGCCACAGTGCTGAGGAATGGGGGGCAGATGCTGGGAGGGGTCCCACAGGCGCTGGGGAGGGGGAGCTCGGGGGGTCCCAGAGGTGCCAGGGGTGTTTGTGGGGGATCCCAGACGTGCCAGGGGTGTTTGGGGGGGATCCCAGAGGTGCCAGATGGGCCTCAGGGGTCCCACGGGTGCTGGGGAGGGTCTGGGTGGTCCCAGGAGTTCTGGGAAGGGCCTGGGTGGTCCCACGGGTGCCAGGGAGGGTCTGGGTGGTCCCACGGGTGCCGGGGAGGGCCTGGGTGGTCCCAGGAGTTCTGGGGAGGGTCTGGGTGGTCCCAGGAGTTCTGGGGAGGGTCTGGGTGGTCCCAGGAGTGCTGGGGTGGTCCCAGGAGCGCTGGTGTGGTCCCAGGAGCGCTGGGGTGGTCCCAGGAGCGCTGGGGCGGGGCCGGGGGTGGGTGGGGGTCTCACCTGGGGTAGGCGTTGCTGTGCCAGTCGAGCAGCAGGTACAGGTCGGGCACGGGCAGGGTCTCTGGGCCAGCGCCCGCAGCTGCTGGGCCAGCGCCCGGTGGTAGCCGCGAGCGTAGACCCCAGCGCGCCGTACTCGGGGGTAGGCGGGGCCACGTGGCTCCGCACGACCCCAGGTCGCCCACGACCCGCGCGGCCAGCGCAGCCAGCCGGGCCCCAGCCCCCGCCCGGGGCCACCTGGGCCAGCCGCTCGCTCGCCGCCCTCGCCACCGCCTCGTGCCAGCGCCGCCGCAGCGCCCGCACTGCCCCGGGCGGCTCCGGGGATCCGCGCGTCCGCCGCCTCCTCCTGCTCCAGCACGGCCACCACGGCGCGCAGCGGGCCACCGCTCGCCCCGCGGCCACCGCCTCGGCCACCACCGCCCACAGCTCGGCCAGCAGCGCCCGGTACAGCAGGGCCACGTCCCGGGCCCGCCGCCCCCGCCCCCGGGCGTCGGCGACGGAGGGGGACACGGCCGGGGACGCAGGGGGACACGGGCGGGGACACGGAGAGGGACGGGGACAGGGCGCACTCGGCCTCCAGGGCGATGATTTGGGCGTCCGCGGCCACCAAGTCCCGCCGCTGGATCAGCTCCAGGATCTCCAGCACTGCGGGGGCGCCGCGGGCAGGGGGTCACTGTGTCCCCTGTCCCCGTGTCCCTTGTCCCCATGTCCCCTGTCCCCGTTGTCCCCTGTCCCCGTTGTCCCCTGTCCCCGTGTCCCCTGTCCCCGTGTCCTCGCGGCCCCGAGTCCCGCGTCCCCGTCTCCATCCCCTGCTGCCATCCCTGTCCCGACGCCCTCATCGCTGTGCCCGTGTTCCCAAAGCCCCCCTGTGTCCCCCATGTCCCCATCCCCGTCCCAAAGTCCTCAACCCTGCCCCCCTGTCCCTGTCCCCCTGTCCCTGTCCCCTGCCTGCACCCCGTGTCCCCACATCCTCACGTCCCCAAATCCACTGTCCCCATCTCCATCCCCGTCCCCACGGCCCCAAACGATCCCCACGTCCTTCTGCCTCTCCCTGAGTCCCTCATGTCCTCCTGGTGTCCCCAGCCCCCTGTATCCCCCGGTGTCCCCCCGTGTCCCCAGCCCCCTGTGTCCCCGGTGTCCCCCTGTGTCCCCAGCCCCCGGTGTCCCCCCGTGTCCCCAACCCCCTGTGTCCCCCGTGTCCCCCCGTGTCCCCAACCCCTGTGTCCCCCCGTGTCCCCCCGTGTCCCCAACCCCCTGTGTCCCCCGGTGTCCCCCTGTGTCCCCCGTGTGTCCCCGTGTCCCCAACCCCCCGTGTCCCCCGGTGTCCCCCCGTGTCCCCAGCCCACCCTGTGTCCCCCGGTGTCCCCCGTGTCCCCAATCCCCCTTTGTCCTCCTGGTGTCTCCAGCCCCCTGTGTCCCCCCGGTGTCCCCCGGTGTCCCCCTGTGTCCCCAACCCCCTGTGTCCCCCAGGTGTCCCACGCCGTGTCCCCAGCCCACCCTGTGTCCCCCGGTGTCCCCCGTGTCCCCAGCCCACCCTGTGTCCCCAGGTGTCCCCCAGTGTCCCCAGCCCCCTGTGTCCTCCTGGGTGTCCCCCCGTGTCCCCAGCCCCCTTTGTCCCCCCATGTGTCCCCAACCCCCTGTGTCCCCCCACTGTCCCCCGTGTCCCCAGCCCCCCGTGTCCCCCCGGTGTCCCCCGTGTCCCCAGCCCCCGGTGTCCCCCGTGTCCCCAGCCCCCGTGTCCCCCCAGTGTCCCCGGTGTCCCCCGTGTCCCCAGCCCCCGTGTCCCCCTGTGTCCCCCACTGTCCCCCCGTGTCCCCAGCCCCCCCGTGTCCCCCCGGTGTCCCCCGGTGTCCCCAACCCCCGGTGTCCCCCGAGTCCCCAGCCCCCTGTGTCCCCTGTGTCCCCCGGTGTCCCCCGGTGTCCCCACTCACCGGACAGCGGCTCCTCTCCCTGTACCCGTCCCGTTCCTTCCCCGCGCCGTCGGCTCCGGTTCCCGCCGCGTCCGCCGCGTCCCCGGGGGTTCCCTCTCCCGGGGGCTCCGCTCCGCGCCCCGCTGTCCCCACGTGCCCAGGGCCAGGCGCAGCAGCGACCCCCGCTTGCCGCCCCCCTGCTCGTCCTGGGGCCGCCGCGGGACCCCGAGTCCTCGGAGCGGCGGCGCGCAGGGAGGGTCCCGGGGCGGCGGGCGCGGCCGAAGGGCCCCGAGCTGCCCCAGGTGGCCCCCAGCTGCCCCCAGCCCTGCCAGCCCCCGAGGGTGGCGCGGCGGCGCCGGCGGCTCTCGGGGTTCTCCGCGAAGGGTCCCCGTCCCCGACCCTGCCCCCGCCCCCGTCCGGGAGGTCTCGGGGCAGCGGCATCGCCGCGGGGGCTCCGGGGGCGAGCGCGGACGGGGGGACGCGCAGAGACGCCCGGTTGTCACCCGCGGGGCAGGGACACTGGGACCCCGGCTGTCACCCGCGGGGCAGGGGACACGCAGGGACCCCTGGCTGTCACCCGCAGGGGGGGGGACACGCAGGGACCCCCGGCTGTCACCCGCAGGGCAGGGGACACGCAGGGACCCCCGGCTGTCACCCGCAGGGGGGGGGACACGTGGCCCCTGGGGACCCGCGCGGTGCCCGCGGCGGTGGCACTGGTGGCACTGGTGGCACTGGTGGCACTGGTGGTGGTGGCGTTAGCGGTGGCAGTGACCCGGTGACACTGGTGACGCTGGTGGCTCTGGCGGCTGCGGTGACACTGGTGACACTGGTGACGCTGGTGGCTCCGGTGACACTGGTTCCCACTTCACACTGGTGACACTGGTGACGCTGGTGGCTCCGGTGACACTGGTTCCCGCGGTGACACTGGAGGCTGCAGGGACACTGGTGACACGGATCCTGTGGTGACACTGGTGGCGCTGATCCTGTGGTGGCACTGGTGGCGTTGGTGGCTGCAGGGACACTGGAGGCTGCGGGGACACTGGTGGCACTGATCCTGTGGTGACACTGGTGGTACTGGTGGAAGCTGCGGTGGCGCTGGCAGAGGTTGCAGGGACACTGGTGATGCTGATCCTGTGGTGGCACTGGTGGCACTGATCCTGTGGTGGCACTGGTGGCACTGGTGGAAGCTGCGGTGACGCTGGCAGAGGTTGCAGGGACACTGGTGACGCTGCTGCTGTGACACTGGTGGCGCTGGTGGCTGCAGGGACACTGGTGACACCGGTTCCTGTGGTGACACTGATTCCCACGGTGACACTGGTGGTGGCTGCAGAGACACTGGTGGCACTGGTTCCTGTGGTGACACTGATCCTGTGGTGACACTGGTGACACCGGTTCCTGTGGTGACACTGATTCCCACGGTGACACTGATTCCCACGGTGACACTGGTGGTGGCTGCAGGGACACTGGTGACACTGCCGTGGTGGCACTGGCGGCTGTGGGGACACTGGTGACACTGATCCCGCGGTGGCACTGGTGGCACTGGTGGCGCTGGTGGCTTCAGGGACACTGGTGACACTGCCGTGGTGACACTGGCGACACTGGCGGCTGCCGCGGTGACACTGGCTGCGCTGGCGGCGGCTGTGAGGACACTGGTGGCACTGATCCCGTGGTGACACTGGCGGCTGCCGCGGTGACACTGGCTGCGCTGGCGGCGGTTGTGGGGACACTGGTGACACTGATCCCGCGGTGACACTGGCGGCGCTGGCGGCGGCTGTGGGGACACTGGTGACACTGGTGACACTGATCCTGCGGCGACACTGGCGGCGCTGGCCGGGGGTTTCCTGAGGAAGCGCCGCCCCGGAGGGGCCTCCCCGGCCGGGCAGGGTCAGCCCCGGTTCCGCTCCCGGGGAGGGGGACCGGGGAGGGGACGAGGGGACACCAGGGGGACCGGGAGGGGACTGGGTGACACCCGGGGACACCAGGGAACCGGGAGAGAGAGGACACCCCACGGGTGACAGGGGGACACCGGGGGACACCGGGGGACCGGGGAGGGGACAGGGGACACCTGGGGACACCGGGGGGACACCAGGGGGACCGAGGGAGGAGAGAGGGGACACCGGGGGACCGGGAGGGACGGGGGGACACCGGGGGACACCGGGGGACAGCGGGGACTGGGAAGGGGCCCCGGGTGACACGGGAGACCCCACAGCACCCAGATGGGACCAGGATGGGACCCCCGGGTGACACGGGGGACCCCACAGCACCCAGATGGGACCAGGATGGGACCCCCGGGTGACACGGGGGACCCCACAGCACCCAGATGGGACCCCCATAGCGCGGGGGAGACACGGGGGGGACCCGGGGATGGCAGAGGGGACAGGGCAGCGACACGGGGGACCCCACGGGGGGACAGGGAGGGGACTCTGGGGACACAGGGGGTGGCACAGGTGACAGAGAGGACCACGGGGGTGACACAGCAGACCCCACGGGTGACACTGGGACCGACCCGGTGGCACTGGTGACCCCACGGGTGGCACTGGTGACCCCACGGGCGACACCGGGCACCCCACGGGTGACACAGGGACCCCACGGATGGCACTGGTGACCCCACGGATGGCACTGGTGACCCCACGGGTGGCACCGGGGACCCCACGGGTGACACAGGGACCCCGTGGGTGGCACCGGGGACCCCACGGGTGACACCAGTGACGCCACGGGTGGCACCGGGGACCCCGCGGGTGACACCGGGGACCCCCTGGGTGACACCGGGGACCCCACGGGTGACACCGGGGACCCCATGGGCGATGAGGACGATCCCTCGGTGACCTCACAGGTGACCGAAGGGACCCCAGGGGTCACAATGAGCCCCCCCGTGGCCCCGGTGTCCCCACGCGTGACCGGGAGGCGACAGCGCGGACCCCACGTGACCCGCCCACCCTCGCGACCCCGCCCACCCCTCGCGACCCCATTGGTCACTCTCGTGTTAAGGTCCCGCCCACACCCCGCTCTCACCCTCCCCTCAGCCAATCGCCGCGCGGCACCGCCACGCGGCCACGCCCCTCTTGTGGGCGTGTCCGGCTGTCTCCATGCCCGGGAGGCGAGTTCTGATTGGCTGAGTCGGGTGTCGTGGGCGGGGCCAACCCCGCAGGCGGACGGTCCTTATAAGGCCGAGGCCCCGCCCCCCGGTTCCGGTTCCGGTGTCATGGCCGCCATGGCCGCCCCGGCCGGCCCCGCCGCCCCGGTAACGGCCCCAGGACCCCAGGGCGCCACCCCAGGGCGGGACCCCCGGCAGCAGCACCGCCCCCCGCCAGCGGGACCCTCCGGGAACAGGGCCCTGCAGGATCCCCGGGATCAGCACCAGGACCCCAGGAGCGGCACCCCGGGGCGGGAACCCCAGGAGCCTCACCAGGATCGCCTCAGGAACAGGACCCGCCGCCCCGGGAATCCTCCAGGACAGGATCCAGGATCAGGACCCCGGTAACGGACCAGGACTCCCCTCGGTAACGGGACCAGGATCAATCCCCCGTTCTCCCGGTAACAGGATCGGGACACCCCAGTAACGGGACCCCGGGCTAGGATCCCCAGTAACAGGGCCCTCCGGTGCCCCTGGTAACGGGGAGCCCCAGTAACGGACCCCCTCCGGTACCGGGAGCCCCCGGTGCCCCCGGACCAGGACGATGTCCTCGCGCTCCGCGCTGGCGGCGGGGAACGAGGCGGAACGCGGACACGGTGAGAGCCGGGAACGGCACCGAGGCGGGGTCCCAGGGGGTCCCGGGAGGATCTGGAGGGATCTGGGGGTCCCGATGGGGGCACCAGGAGGAGGATCTGGGGGTAACGGGGGGATGCTGTACCGGGCGGGGTCCCGAGAGGGTCCTGGGGAGGGGCTGGTTTGGCAGCCTGGGGGGTGGGGGGCACCGGGGGATTTTGGGGTCAGTCCGGGGGTCTCACCCTGTGATGGTTTGGGGGTGGTCCCAGGGGTCCCCTGTGATGATTTTGGGGGGTCAATCCTGGGGTCTCACCCCCATGACAGTTTGGGGGTCAATCCTGAGGTCTCACCCCCTGTGATGGTTTGGGGGATCAGGTCAACCAGGGGTCTCACCCTGTGATGGTTTGGGGTCAATCCGGGGGTCTCACCCCCTGTGATGGTTTTGGGGGTCAATCCCGGGGTCTCACCCCCTGTGATGGTTTTGGGGGGTCAATCCCGGGGGTCTCACCCCCTCCATCCCCCCCCAGGCGGGCCCGGGGGGCAGCGGCCGCCCCGATAAGGCTGGGGGGTGGTCCCATCACAGGGTGGGGGTGGTCCTAGGGGTCCCCTGTGATGATTTTTGGGGTCCATCCTGGGGGTCTCACCCCCCTGTGATGGTTTGGGGGGGTCAATCTGGGGGTCTCCTGTGATGATTTTGGGGTCAATCCTAGGGGTGTCACACCCCTGTGATGGTTTGGGGAGGGGTTTGGGGTCCATCCCAGGGGTCCCCTGTGATGATTTTGGGGTCAATCTGGGGGTCTCACCCCCTCCATCCCCCCCCAGGCGGGCCCGGGGGGCGGCGGCCGCCCCGATAAGGCTGGGGGGTGGTCCCATCACAGGGTGGGGGGTGGTCCCAGGGGTCCCCTGTGATGATTTTGGGGTCAATCCCGGGGGTCTCACCCCCCTGTGATGGTTTGGGGGGGTCAATCCCAGGGGTCACCTGTGATGATTTTGGGGGGTCAATCCCGGGGTCTCACCCTCTGTGATGGTTTGGGGGATCGGGTAACCCTGGGGTCTCAACCCCATGACAGTTCGGGGGTGTCAATCCTGGGGGTCTCTACCCCCCTGTGATGATTTTGGGGTGTCAGTCCCGGGGGTCTCACCCCCCTGTGATGATTTTGGGGTCAATCCCGAGGGTCTCACCCCCCTGTGATGGTTTTGGGAGGGGTTTGGGGTCAATCCCAGGGGTCTCACCTCCCCAGGATGGTTTGGGGTCAATCCCGGGGGTCTCACCCCCTGTGATGGTTTGGGGGGGTCAATCCCAGGCGTCACCTGTGATGATTTTGGGGTCAATCCTGGGGGTCTCACCCCCCATGACAGTTCGGGGGGAGGGGGGTGTCAATCCTGGGGGTCTCACCCCCCTGTGATGGTTTGGGGGTGATCCCAGGGGTCACCTGTGATGATTTTGGGGTCAATCCTGGGTCTCACCCCCATGACAGTTTGAGGGGGTGTCAATCCTGGGGTCTCACCCCTGTGATGGTTTAGGGTGGTCCCAGGGGTCACCTGTGATGATTTTGGGGTCCATCCTAGGGGTCCCACCCCTGTGATGGTTTGGGGGATCGGGGTCAATCCTGGGGTCTCACCCCCTGTGATGTTTGGGGGTGGCCTCCAGGGGTCACCTGTGATGATTTTGGGGGGTCAATCCCAGGGGTCTCACCCCCATGACAGTTCTGGGGGTCAACCTCAGCCCCACCCC